ATTGCTGTGGATCATAGCTACACAACACGAGTCAGTTTGTGCCAATTGAAGCTCTGCGCGTTGAGAAAGGGTACAGTGCCACCGTAAGCTTATATGCGCCACCGCCCTACGGTGGCACTGTACCCCCGTGGGAGGGCATATCTCGGCATCTACTGGTCGGATGGACGTCCCAGATGGCTTGAACGATGGCTATGGACGTCCGTCGACCAGCGCAATTTGTTTGACGTCGATTGGAGCTTTGGCCACGGAGTTACGGTGGAATATGTGGTTGGTGCCCGCCTTTTGATGCCGCTGAGCCCCCTTTTTCGAGCATAACTTTCCAACGACCGAATGGATTTTGCTTCAAGTTGGCTTGTATGATTGCTATGGGTCATAGCTACACCACAATTTTTAGTTTGTGCCAATTGAAGCTCTGTGGGCGGAGATAAGAGCGGTGGCGCATATAAGAAATTGCGCCACCGGTGGCGTAAATAGACAAACACTTAAAAGAAATATGTAACTGCACGTCGACCATCCTGCAAGTTAGAAGTATATAGTATGATAGTGCACCCTTACTGGCGGGGAAGACGTTTGTGCTTCCAACGAGCAGAACGTATGGTACACGGGTGTGGTACTCCGCTCACCGCCATCATCGTCTTCCTCATCATCATCGTTGCCCTCATGGTCACCATCATCACTATCGTCAACTTCGGGGGCGCTGCCGTAGATGCAGGGGGCTACGCCGGTGTCGTCACAGTAGTTGCCGTTATACTTGATCCCTCCTCCGCAGCATGAACCAGAGTCAAGACCGTTCGCAGCGCCAGCAGTGCTGCACCCCGTACCCGCGCACTGGCCACAGCCCAGCGGGCAGCAGACGACGCCGTTGCCGTCGATGCCCTCGATACCGTCGCTGCACGTACTCTCCGTTTCTACAAACGTATGGGATTACGACCGGGTCGTGCGGGCGCGAGCAGTACATACATTACCTCAACGTCATGTTACCTGGCTTTGAAAGCACGCTTTCATTCCAATTGTTCTAGTTGTCGTCCTTCTGCCTATCCAGTGGTTCCCGCGGTGGGTGACCATTTCCGCCTATTATTCCTTTGTTCACGTAGCTGCCTCTAATCCTGCATCACCAACAGTGCTCTTCCACTTTGGAAGAATTCTGCGGCTTCCTACTGGAACAGTTATGTCAATACGTATCGCAGCCAGGCAGCCAGCAAGCTCCGCTTTCTTGCCCATTATGACGTCGCCTAGCAACATTGGTGTCGTTTCGGTACTCCCGTCATATAGTCTGGCCTGCCTCAGGTTTTAGAACCATCTGTATGTCTCTGTCTGTCTACAGTATCTGTCTGTCTGTGTCGAACGGGTTCTCCCGCCTCTACCTGTCCGCGTGACCGCATAGAAATCACGACGACGCCAAGAGAGCCCACGTTCGTGTTCACGCTCGTATTCGAGCAATGAGATCGCAAGGTTGTCTTGTGCCCGCGGTCTCGGTTCCCCCATGCCTT